TTCTAACACCTAGAATAGTTCCTAGCATATACATTAGCAGGCATTTAATAACACTTGTTAAGTGAATGATTATTGTTCTCATGATCATCACCATTATTCTGTGGTATCGTATTTGATTTAGGTATATTGATATATATTCTTTATATTGATTTAAAAGAACATGAATAGAGGAGAATGGAGAACAGTAGAGCCCACAAACAGGCCAGGGTGTCCTTGATCACCTGGCTGTGGTAGTGTTTGTGTATGACCCCGTGAGTTGATAACTTGGCTGGTAAGTTATAGGTGTCTTGCATCTGTTAACTTGCTGGTAAGGATAGGTGTCCAGTTAATTGCTTTAGACACATGAGCATGAATTTTTCAAGATTTTCATATTGCCTTGAGATGGCAAATGCACAGATTTATTGAACTGACAGGCTAAAAGTACCATGTGCATTGACATGAAGATACAAAGAACTCAGCTGTGTTGGCAGTATTTATCTTACCCAAACCTCAGACATGTATCAGCCATCCCTAATCGAGTAAGAAAATTCCCGGAGGCACGACAAATGGAAATGAAAATTGGATTCGTGGGTAAATACTTTAATGAATCTGCGATGGTCTGGTTTAAACAAACTCTAGACAGTCTAATTTATTGGGATGCTTTTATCAAGTGAGTGTAAAGGGAACATCACAGCAGATAGGGCCGGTAGTTCTTTGGGCTACAGAACTTGTATTTCTATTCGAAACCACACCATAATGATTAGTCATTCATGATAGAAATCAATGATTCTACTTTTCTGACAGGATTTGTTCACTGTTCCCAGGAACTGCCTTCTCTCTTCTCTCAAGAGGGCATTTAGGACTTGAAGCTCTTTCTCTTGGCTTGTTTATTGTGTACTGTTCATTTGCAGAGTGGCTGCAGTATCCTGTGCCAGTTTGGCATCGTGAGGAGGGTTCATGCTCACATTCTCCCAAGAATCCGTGCTAGCTCTCCGGTGACTTTGAATTCCCTTCCAAACGTTGGTTGTGGCTGGAGAGGCCAAGAACTTTTTCTAATCAGTGCTAGTTTCTATGGCTATAAAAGGCCCCTGAAAGAGTGACAGAAAATAAGGGCAGATTGTTCTCAATTTCTGAATTCATTGATATAAAGTGTTAAAAAAAATCCACCCTCTTAATCCATTCTCAAGTTGATTATTCTCTTTCTCTCTCTCTCTCTCTCTCCCCCCCTCCCTCTTTCTCTTTCTCTCCCTCTTTTCTGCCCTTGAGATTATGGCAGATACCACTGGTTGTCACCCAACTTCATCTGTATTGTCTTCCTTTTTACTAGAGCCCCGATTTTGCTCAACCCTCTTAATAGTTGAGGATTTCAGGGGGAGGTTGGCCCTATCAACAGGGTATGTGTTTTGGTTGCTATAAGCTGGTGACTGATTTAAGGATGGGCATTTCAATTCCGTGCCAGAAATGAGATGTGACAGGAAGTCTGCTGGGTGCACTGATGAGATAGATTTTCCTTCCTTAAAACAAAGCAAACTAACAGGAATAAGAAGAAGTAGGCTTTTTAATTTTCTGTTTCCAAATGGCAAGTACGAACAGACCATACCTGCAGTTGCTTTTGCTACTTGGATAATCATGAGGGAACCTAGTTGAAAGACTGAGGAGAAAATGGGATTGTTGAAGCCTGGAGAAATCTTAGTACTCAATTATGCTGATGATTTAGTCAATCTGGGAAACTCTCCAGCGTTCTTGTTATGTGAGATTTAAAAAAAAAAAAAAATCCTAACGTTTAAATCATTTGGAGTCGGATTTTCTCCTAGGGCAGCCAAAAGCGTCCTAATGGAGCCATTTCACTTCTGGTTGTTTGCTCAACATGTCTTTAGAATTATCCTCTCTTAGTTGGTTTGGGGCCTTTTGAACAACAATAAAACTTCCTAGGAGTTAATTAGTTAAGATACTAAATGTGATGGGTTTCTATTTTCAACAGAAGACAAAGTATTGATTCTATTTTTTTTTAAAGATTTTTTAATTTATTTATCAGATAGAGATCACAAGTAGGCAGAGAGGGAAGGGGAAGCAGGCTCCCCGCTGAGCAGAGAGCCCGATGCAGGGCTCGATCCCGGGACCCAAGGATCATGAACTGAGCCGAAGGCAGAGGCTTTAACTCACTGAGCCACCCAGGCGCCCCTTGATTCTATTTTTAAGTGTTAGAAAAATCAGTGTTATTTGTATTTTATTTTCAATATACAAGAATGCCTTGCATATTCTCATATCATAGCAGGCTCTTAAAGTTCTGCTGTGTGAGGGAGTCTTTCTTATTGGTGGGAGAGATTGCATTATGTGAATGGAGATTGGTTCTTGAATGCCCGAGAAAAGATTTATGCTCAAATAAAGCAGCCAAAAGGAAGGTAGCAAGAACAAAGCAGTTTATTAAGGACAGTACACTCTCAGGAGGAGAAGCAGACAGGCCCAGAGGCAGCAACTGCCCTGAGGTTACAGGGGTCTTTTCTTTTTATGTGAGCCGAATCTTGGGTCATGGACAGGGGTGGTCTCTAATGGAGGCTGCTTCTAATCATTTGGAAGACTGTTCCCAAAGGACGGACCCTGCAAGTTTTGTACTGGAACTGTCATGGCAGCCTTTCCCCAGGGGAGTGGGAGCTCAAATCACAATACAAATGCATTATAATGAGTCTAGGGGTTACCCTGGGGGTAGAGGTAGAGGAGGCAGAAGAGAGGATATGCTCTGTACCTGTGCCTCTTGGTCTCTTAGCCCCCAGGGTCTTGGAAGCCACAAAGTCAGGATATTGTGCCTCAGGGCTTCTAATGTCTCACTTGCTTATCACTGCTTTTGCCCAAGCTCATGTCTAACTAACTGCCTGCTTTATCAGTCCAAGGACAAGAAGATATTTAATAATTCCAAATGTACTGAGAGAAAACATTTGTCATATTGCATGTTTATATACTCATCTATGTGAATTTTGAGGTACTAAAAAGACTTTAAAAAATCACATTAATAATTACAATGGTTTCAAATGTTCCATTTTCTTTATGTTCTCCCCGCTATTTCTGCTAATGGCACTATAATTCTCTTAGTCATCCAGGCTTAAAATCTCCAATTTATTTTTGGCTCCTCCTACTCTCTTACTCCAGAAACAATCTGTTGTCAAGCCCTCAATAATGTCATTTTAGAAATACTCTTACATCCCTTCCATTTGCTCTACTCTCACTGCCACTAACTTAGTTCATCAAGAGTCTTCTGAACTGTTTGCAGAGAGTTTCCATGTTCTCTCCAGTCTTCTTTCTTTTTTCTTAAATTTTATTTATTTATTTAGAGAGAAAGTGGGCGAACAGGGGGAAGGGTAGAGAGAGAAGGAGAGAGAGAATCTCCAGAAGACTCCACACTCAATGCAGAGACTGATGTGGGGCTCGATCCCACCACCCTGAGATCATGACCTGAGCCAAAATCCAAAGCCAGAGGCTCAACCGACTGGGCCACCCAGGTGTCCCTCCATTCTTCTTTCGAAAGCAGAGATCTGTCATGCTTACTTTCTCCTAGTGTGTCCACATTGCTCAAGGATAAAGCCTGATCTCTACATGCTGGCATACATGGTCCAGATAGCAACTCCATCTGACTGACCTCTCAACATTCCTTGTCACCATTGTCCTCTTCACATTCTATGTTCTAGTCCAAGACAAGGTCCTTTATTGTCCTTTATTGACTTGACCCCTCATCTCACATTGAGTTTCTTATCTTCATCTGTTCAAATCCTAACTGCCAGTCACAGGTTATCTGAAATTACCTTTTTCTTTACAAAGATCTCTTGATTTCTCCCAGTCAAAACTATTGTGCTCTTCATCCCTTGGATTTCACTGGGATTTTATCTCTCTATTAATGAAGGGATTTATTACTTTTTAACCATCTATTATAATTATCTACTATCTTATGTCCTTTTTAAAAAAGGTGAAGTTCTTGAGGACAGGAACAAGATCTTGTTCATTTTTGTGTTCATCTTGGAGACTGGTATTTCCTTGATTGTAACAAATACCCAATAAATAGAGTTGAATTGCTAAAGAGTGACCAGCTTTTTGTTCAATCCTTTTCTTATCACCATCTGATCAATGAAAATGTAATAAAACTTTGGAAAAAAGGGAAATTATTTGGTTCAGATGGTCAGTAATGGACCACCTGAGGGAGAATTCTTTAAGAGCAATGAATTCAGAATTATATTAACTACAAAGAGGATAGATAACTTAGTTTTCCATTTCAGAAATATTCCTAATCTGGAAGAGAGTTTGAATAACAAATATGCTTCAGCATTATTCTCCAAATTTGTAATAGTTTTTGATCTTTCATCTGAAGATTATTATTTGAATTTTACAAAAAGATGGTTGTTTTGTTTTACTGGAAAACACCACTTTTCAATGAGTCAAGAGTCATATGCATCAATATCAAGATGAAGGATACTTTTATTAAAAAAAAAAAAAAGCCTAGTTCTTCCCGAGGCAGACTTTCCTGCTTATCAAGTTTAGTGTACTGCATTTCACTTGTAAGTACCGTGATGAGATGCATAATTACCTCGTTAAAAATTAACACAAAGGAGATTCTATTGAACTTCTGGAATCTCTAATCTGCTGGCCTGCAGAAAGACAATGCAATACATACCCATGCGTGGGGGAATTATGTGTAATATTTAGGATTACTCTCCACATTTTCTCACCCTTAATTTTTTCTTGCTGTTTAGCTTAAATTTAATACACAGTGTAAAACAGAAGTTGACCTAGATGTTATTAGCTCAGAGAAACTGTATGGTAAATGCGCCCCATTCATTTCCAATATTGCTTATTGGCTAAGAAGATAATGTAACCCAGTTCCACAGTAGAATTTGTTCTGACTCAGTTAGTTAAAGGACAGATTACAAAGTAACCACTTGATAATTGGTAAAATTGAATTCCTTAGTACTTGGCAAGAACAATTAAGATTTTATTTGTACAATAGTCTCATAAAAGTAAAAAACACCTGGGCCCACCTTCAATCCATAGCTGGATCTGACAGTTCCTTCACCAAGTGGTGATAAAGAGGTCAAATGGAGCTCAGAGAAACACAGCAAATAAGGAGAGAGAAGTGACTTACAAAGAGGGTTCAAAAGGATTTTTACTCTGCCGTTAAATAATACCTAGGGTCCAGCCTCTCATGACTCTGCAAATGCCAGAAAAGAGGATTTACAGTGAGACTGGGCAGAGCAAGGTTACATAAGAAGGCAGCAGCTGAGCCACCCTGCAAGATGCCAGGTCAGTGGAGCACTCCGGGATCCCAGAACCTTCTCACATTCATGCAACAGCCATTATGGAAGTAGGCCATTCAGGGGAGCATGAAGAGTGGCCGCAAATGGACTCTAAGAGACAAGTTTGGAATCTGGCTTTGAATTCCGCCTTTGCCACTGCCTCTAGAATGTTATTAAACTTCAGGATGGAGGGTAGTATTAGAAGCAGGACAAAGAACTGGCTTATTTGGTTATGAGTGTGTTCTGTCTGGGTGGGGCATCAGAGAGGATAGGAGAGGGGATAGGTAGATTTTCATGGTTGCAGCTATCAGTCTTTCTGTTGCAAGATCACACGTGTACTGAACTGTGACGTGATTCTGCCATTCTAAGACCTATCCTTTTGATGATCTGTATTTACTGTTTCTGAGAATGACCAGAATGGCTCACATCATTGTTGACACTTCTTTTTCCTCCTTGCTTGCCTCTGGTGGCCAGTAGGATGCTGGTGCTGGGTTGTATGTACACGTGTGTATGCACGTGAACACATGCGCAGGGGTCATGGGGAAAGTGGGGCACATTGGTACATAAGCAGTTTATCACTTAAGGAAGCAGTTCAGGGCCTAATAGCCCAAGGCCTCTAAGACAAGTTTGCTCAGTGTCCCAGAGAACAAGGATGAACAATGATGATAATATTCTGAAGGCGGTAACTTGTTCAGGGTGTGGGTCAGTGGAAGGTAGGCTTAGGAAGGGGAGAATGAGAATGAGTTTGTGAAGTCCGGGGATCAGAACAGTAAGGCAGAGTCAGGCGAGCGGAGATAAATTGAGCCTAATCAGTTATGAAGTTTGGAAAGAGGTGGAATTAAGGAAATATGCAGCTTATCTTTCAAAGGCCTTTGTAAAATATGGAGGAAAAGTTAACCCCCTGAAGGTAATTCATGTTTGGACATTTTTGTGTCTCAGTGAAGACATTTGGTGACCAAGAATGGGTGGAGGGGCCAGAGATAATTAAGGTGGAAATGTGAGTAAATACCAGTATGTCTTGGAGTGTATTCAGAAGTTGCCTGTGTAAATTTGAGTACCAGGTTACTGAGAAGCAACTGGCTAATTTCAAGACAGGAGGAAAACAAAAGTGTTCATTACTCACAGGGGCTGAGGCCAGGCTGGGTAACTGGTCCAACCTGGCATATAAAAAGACCAAGAAGCAGGGGCATAAAAAGATAAGGGGAAACTGGGTTTCTTTGGGAAAAGAGGAGGAGGGAGGAAAATAGTGGTGAGTCCTCGAGAAAATGAAGCAGCAGCAAGCTGCAGAAGGCCTCTGTCTCCCAACGAGTGGTCAACAGTGGATCTTCACATAGACACTGGCTTTCGTGTAAGCGAAATGCATGCGGGCAACACCAGGATGTTCAGGCTCCCGATTTCAGAGTCAATATATGTATCAGTTGGTATATTATGCCAGTTGTGTCTCTCTCTGCTGTCTTCTTGATCTTGAAATAATCCCCTCACCTAATGTACCCGATTTTTTTGCTCCTACAATGAGGTCCATGCGCAGCGCTGCCCTGTTTGTGTCTTGAGAGCAAATAGGGGAAGACAAAACACCTTACCATTTAGGAAAGGAAAATTTAAACTTGTCAGCTGTTTGGGGATTATTTTTCTGTCAGAGCTAGTCTGCGCCTGGGTAGAGATCTTTTTTTTTTTTTTTTAAAGATTTTCCTTTATTTGTCAGAGAGAGAGTACACACAAGCAGGCAGAGAGAGAGAGGCAGGCAGAGAGAGAGGAGGAAGCAGGCTCCCTGCTGAGCAAGGAGCCCGATGCGGGACTCCATCCCAGGACCCCAGGATCATGACCTGAGCAGAAGGTAGCAGCTTAGCCAACTGAGCCACCCAAGCGTCCCATGCCTAGGTAAAGATTTAAGGAGGAGGTAGCACGACCTCCAGGAACTGGATTCTCTAGAATTTTCTTTTGTTTCGTTTGGGGTTTTTTTGTTTGTTTGTTTGTTTGTTTTTGAGGGAAAAGAAACCTAGAACAAAATGAGGGCAATCTGTACAGGCAATGTATTAACCTTTTGGGTTGCATGGACCATCCTGGCCAATCTCTGCACTGCAGAAAGGACAGGGTTTGATTCTGCTCCATCTTCCAGTGACTATAAAGTTCTTGCAGAGAACATGACATGTGATGACATAGAAGTAATTTCAATGTCACAATTCATTTCTCTTGGATTTGCTGCAGATTTTTAATTGGAGAAAATCGTCTTACCATGACACCACTGGAGAGGACCAAAGACTTTTAAGCAGCCCTTTTAAATAGTAGGTTAAAGTGTGAAAGAAGAGAACACGGGAAGAAATTTACAGCTTTAAGCTATATGCTGTTCACAAAAAAAGAAATCTACCCAGAAAAACCATCCTGAGATCATGGAAGTCTGTACAAGTATGGTTTTAGGTTCAAAGAGATTCTTTAAAATGTACTTTTTACCCTTCATTGGCTCCTGTAAATGAGGACATTTAATCCGATCCTAATAAATCTTAATTAGCTAGAAGACATAGGAGTTTTTATTTAATTAACACTTACTAAAGGCCAGTAATCCTTAAGGTTCTGCAGGAAGCATTGTGACAATATGGCAATTTGGGTGTGATTCCTGTTTGGAGAGAGCTCACAGGCTGAAGACTTTAGTATGGTCTTGGGAAAATTACTTTTTTGTTTTTTTAGAATGCAGGATCATCTATTAAGCTAATTTGCCTATAAGATCGAGGAAGGGTATTATGGAGGGAGGATCAAAGAAAAATCTTAAGTATTTTTACCCTGCTTTATCTAACTACTCTGACAAAAAAAAAAAAAAGACAGGAAATGTTACAACATCCCACTGTTGATAAATGACTAGAAACAACTCTGTAAGACTGTGAAATCCAGCATGTGCAGAGAAAACAGAGCAAAACTTAGGTAGAACAGGATAAAATTGAGCATTATAGTTATAGTGTGGTGTGCAAATTTTGTGTTTAATCTTGGGGTTTGAGTGGAAAATACAGAATAGTAGTGTTACTGATCTGGCAATTGTAAAGAACATTTTTTAACGTGATTGAAATAAAACATCCTAATTAATATATCACATTCAAAACAAACAAGTATTTCAAAGATGGTTCAATGTTGCTACTCAGCTGAAAGTCTGCCACTTTCACTGGTAATAATTTCTTAGAAATGATTTACTCGATTTTTTATAACAGGACACTGCTGATCAGCTTAGAACAAAATGCTTTAAGCACTGAGGTTCGTGTCATTGAGGAGGGAAAAAGGATTAAAACTGAAGAGATTTTGGCCATTCCTACTGGTGTAGGGAGTTATCTCAGTGTGGTTTTGATCTGAATCTCCCTGATGGCTAGGGATGATGAACATTTTTTCATGTGTCTGTTAGCATTTGTATGTCTTCTTTGGAGAAGTGTCTGTTCATGTCTTCTGCCCATTTTTTTTATATGATTATCAGTTAGAATGGCCAAAATTAACAAGACAGTAAACAACATGTGTTGGAGAGGATGAGGAGGAAGGTGAACCATCTTACTCTGTTGGTGGGAAGGCAAGTTTTGTGCAGCCACTTTAGAAAACAGTGTGGAGATTCCTTAAGAAATTAAACAGAGAGCTACCCTATGACCCTGCAATTGCATTACTGGGTATTTACCCCAAAGATACAGATGTGAAAAGAAGGGCCATCTGTACCCAGTGTTTATAGCAGCAATGGCCACAATCACCAAACTGTGGAAAGAACCAAGATGCCCTTCAGTGGACGAATGGATAAAGAAGATATGGTCCATATATATAATGGAGAATTACGCCTCCATCAGAAAGGATGAATACCCAATTTTTGTATCAACATGGACAGGACAGGAAGAGATTATGCTCAGTGAAATAACTCAAGCAGAGAGAGTCAATTATATGGTTTGGCTTATTTGTGGAGCGTAAGGAATAACACGGAGGACATGGGGAAATGGAGAGAAGTGAATTGGGGGAAATTGGAGAGGGCGACGAACCATGAGAGACTGTGGACTCCGAGAAACAAACTGAGGTTTTTATAGGGGAGGGGAGTGGGAGGTTGGGTGACCTGGTGGTGGGTATTAAGGAGGACATGTATTGCATGGAGCACTGGGTGTGGTGCATAAACAATGAATTCTGGAACACTGAAAAGAAATTTAAAAAAATAAATTAAAAATTTTTAAAAAACTGAAGATTTTTTTTGGACTAGATATTAGATGAGTATAATTTTCCATGATTTCAATGACTGATTTGTATTAAGCTAGTGCATATACTGTTTGCCATATTTTAAAAATTCACTGATCATCTGGGCATGGCTTGTCCTGGGGAATAGTATAAAATTTTTATATTTCTCATACTTATTTTTTTATTTTTAGTTTTCTTGTACTTCCCTTGGGCAACTCCTCTCATATTTCTGTGAGGTCAGCATTCAGCTCTTTGGCTGCTCTGGACCTCTGTCTAGGTCTGTCCTTCTGAAAGTCTCCTTGGAATCAACATTTTTATCCTCTATCCTTTAAACACTTCTCACCCACAGGTGCTGAAATCTCAGCTGGTTCTTAGGTAGAGTCATAGGATTAAACCAGTTCCTTCTCTGTATTCATGATGCCTGACAGAGGCTAAAAGTGATTACATGCCTAGGCTATTTGTGTAATAAGAGAAAACGTTACTCTGAAGGAATGAATTTTTCGCGATGCCATTTCAGTGGCTTTGAATGAGGATCTTTTAGGACTCAAGTGATCCTGCTTAGGAATCTGCCTCCTGCACATTTCCTCAGGCTGGGTAGGTAGATGACCTTTTTCCTCAACAGTGTGGCCAGTTGTC